AGTTTCGGCGAACGCTCATATGTGAAAGGCACTTCAACTTTCTATCGCCGTGGTGCGGGGTGGGTCGGGCCGGGGCTGCTTGTACTTCGGCTTTTGGATCTTTAGATCTAACCCACTGCTTCCACGACCAGCCGGATCAAACACCTTGACGCAGCGCGGGGCAGCTTAGCCCTTTCCCTGTCTTGCACATTAGTTACTGAGCTGGGCTGGGCCAGAAGGGGGGCGTAACCCAAATTTGTAATAGTTTCAGGTGCATGGCAACTAGATTGGCTCTGTGATCCCTGAGGTGTAGCTGTATTATTGACCACCCTGGTGAACATGGCTATCCCGGCGGACTCGGCCTCCAAGCTGGCCTTCCAGGTGCCAAAGAGTCTTAAAGAGCCGAAGGTTCCTCTTGAAACAATCCACCGCGCACCCTCGACCCTGTGAGGGCCTCGACGATGCCTGGGGAGTAATCCGCCAGGGTCTGGAGGACCGGCCTGAATCGTAGTTGTGCTTCAGCAACCAGTGGCGGAGAAGACAACCCAAGAAATCAGAATGCTTTTCTTGATCTTGCGCTCTACGTGTCCAATTGTCGCAGGAGCTTTACGATCCAAAGGTCAAAACAGTCACATTCTACGCTGGACAAGCCAGAGATCTGGTCAACAAGGCCGTCAAAGCGAACGTCCTTGGCGCATCCAATTTCATATTTCCTTCGGCGCTCTAGCTTTGGCTTTTGCCCTCCTCTTCTTGCTTGCCGCCGGCAGGCTCAAGCGATGGGAGACGAGGCAGCCTTTGAGCCGCGGCCCTGGAAGATGCCCTGGCAGTCGACTCTCTTCGACAGCGTCCTGGAGGCTTTCTTACTTCGTCCTGTCCCCTTTCCCGTGTCGTCCTTTTTCTCCTTGATGCAGGAGACCCGTTATATGGTTGCCACGCTTGCTGCCATTGAAACCTCATTTGCGGAAGACGGTGTCGAGGGCGCAAAGTGGCTTGCTTCAGTTTGTTCTGCTCCGAGAAGCTCAGAACTTGCTGTTGCATCTACCTTGGGTTGAATGGCTGTTGCGTCCAAGCCTGATTAGTCATGAGAAGTTCCATATCCTCTGACTTCTGAGGAAATGCGAGCCCGTGCGTCTACTAACGGAGCGGAGCAGCCTCTTCAACAAAGGCGACGCATGTCAACTAGCTCACTACAGTAAGACTTCAGTAAGAGTACTCGTCGCGGATCCCATCCAAAGACATACCTAGGCTTCTGAGGTCGAGCTTTCTGAAGAGAATTACGATCATTCGCAGCTGCCAAAGATGTAGAGCACGGCCCCCAGTACACCAGAGGAGAAATATATCACAGGGGCAGGTGCACACCATCGGGAAAAAGGGTACGTGTCACCTGGATGGTGCATGACGGCTCTATGGTCAACAGGACCTGGTGCCCTGAAGTCTTTCTGGGCATGCGCGAAGGCTTACTAAGGATGAGCTTCTAGTGATCGCTGTCATGCATTCTATGGTCGTCAGGCGGCAACACCATCACGAGAAAGCTGGACATTGTGCGAAGGCCATGCTAGGGACAGGATTGCCTCCAAACTATTCAAGCTCTCTAGACGACACTCCAAACGTTAGGTTCAACCTCTTTTGCAGTTGTGAATGTAGGGATGTTTAGCTCCTGAGCGCAACAGTCGGAATCGCTGCGTTTGAGTGCTGTGACCGGGAACTAGGATTTGTTAAGCGTGCTCTCGTTTACCGGGCGGGCAGTTAATCGGCTCTCGGAGTTTCATTGCCGTGCGGTGCTAGCCTCTGAGAGGCTGTTGGGCATCTTTGCCCATGAGACGTCCCACAAGCTCCCCGGATCAGCTTTGTGAAGCTGTTGGCGTTGTGATTGGCATCTCAATTGCTACCTTGCAACAGATCCTGTGTAGAGCCAGTGGAACCCTAATTGTTCCCCCGCGTGGCAGACATCAGACATCTCACTACATCTCTAGGGACTCTATGTATGATTGGTCGCGGCTGACATCTCAAGGTTCCCAGTCTTGTCAGAGCCTGAAGTCTTCCACACCTTCCGCGAAGAGGACTGCTTCCACGACTTCAGTTTTATTGGGCCTCTTTTTGCAATTGAACGTCCCTGAGATTTGGCCCGAGTGTGCTCACAGAATTTCCCCTAGTATTGGCAGGTAAAGTAGTGCAATCTACAAAAAGTTTTATTCGCCCGCTTGAAGGAGCATCTGGCTGAAGAAGAGTTCGTTCAGCACCTGGGACGCACCGCAGTGATGCTGAGCCCATCCTCAAATGCTAAACCCACTGAACCTCAAGCCACTTGTTTGACTGCCTGTCATGTCCAACCCTCAAAGGAAGGAGCTGCCACACTTGTTTGGGAAAGACCTGCAGCCAGCAAAGACGATTTGCCACGATGAGATGGCTCATATGTTCCTCGGCCTTGAAGCAGTGTGAAGGGAAGTTGTTAGCCTGGTGTGCAATTTGCCTAAGGTCCATGGTGCTAGCAAACGTCAGCAGGATGAAGCTTCTCTTGCGCGGAGTGCAGCACAAGATCTTGCAAAGCCATTGGGATGGCTGATCTGAGCAGAGCTGGCGGATGCTGTCAACCAGAGTACATCAAACCGATGAAGTCAGCTTTTGTCCCTGCTGGCATCTGTTGAGGTCTTGTTCACAAGTCTTTTAATCCCCTGAAAAGGCACGTGAAGTCTGCTGCTGGAATCCTCATTCCTGACTATGAGCTTGCTGGCTTTCTCTACCAGTGACAGAGACTGCTTCGCACGCAGACCATGGCAAAACATCAAATGCTGTCCTTCGAAGAAAGGACGCACAGTAAGCGTAGATAGTTCTAGATGTTCCATGCGCGGAAATATGCCAGCTACACATGTTGCATTGGGCTTTTGAATCACGGACCTACAGGCTGGTCCGTGAGATCAAGTTCAGCATTGATGACTTTTCAGTCTTGACAGTCTTTGCATGCATATCAGCAGGTGCCATTTTGCAGAGTGAGGTTGTTGATCCTGGCATAGAGGGTTGCATGGGATCTGCCTGCTCTTGATAGCGGCTGGCCAGCAATGCAGCGAGAAATCCTGCCCTGTGCTGGTTGGTGCCAAAAATGCCACATCAGCCAATGTGCCAGAATGCTCAAGTTGGATGTAGCTTGTAGTCCTCTCACAAGCCGAGGACGTCAGTGCCTTGGCCTGCCAAAGCAGCTCCAAAAAGAGTTTGCAGAGCTTGTCGGCACGATCCTGGAAGGATCTCTACCATCATCAGCGGAACCAAAAGCAAGGTTGCTCTGCTCCCCCAACAATGAATGAATTCAGAGAGAGTGGTCTATGAATGGCCTTGGAGCTATACCATTGGGCTCCATCTTAACCTCAGGAACCAGACTTTTGCAAGGGTCTCGGGCCTGAGCCTAGAGTGGACAGAGTGACTGGCGAACAGCCCGTGCTACAACAAGACCGCTTGAGTGACTTGAATGCGGAGAAGGGGCCTTTGTTCCCAGCTGTTGAGGACGCGTGAGTCAAGTCCGGGCCCTCCTTCCGACTATTGGGCAGAATCTGACGAAGGCTGGCCTGGTTTGTGTTTAAACCTTGAATCGGGGGCTGCGATTTTGCAGCTTGTTGGTCTCTGGCCATGTCTAAGCTCTTGCCGGAAATCTGGAACCAACAACAGGTGTGCTTGGCATCTGAAGGCAGGCCAACAACAGCTGGCGCATTTGCACATGTGCATCAGACCGGTCCCAGCGGCTAATTGCGTGGACCGCTACCCAAAAGTACTTGGAAGTAGGTGCAGTGCTGCCTCTGTGCAGCCACATACTCTTACTGAAAACATGTGGGGCAGACTGTGGCTTGCATTGCCCTCCTGCACTTGCCGGTTCAACTTGCAAGTAGCCCACCTGTTGCAACGTGGCCGACATCAGGGCCGCCAACCCCGGCATATCAGAAGCCTCGCCGACCACGGCGACTGTCACAGCAGGCTCATCGTCCTTGAGGTCGTCGAGTCTAGCAGTTCAGTTCATGAGGGGAACTGTGATTTGGCCAGAACATATTCCATTGCGTGAAAGCATGCCACCTTCCAGCCATGAGCTTGAAACTTGGACTCGAACCCCCCTGCGTACCCGATCCCTAACCGAACTGCACCACCTTTCCTTTCTGAAGCACGCAGCCCAATTTCTTTGAGAGGCAAGCTTGGACAACAGCCCCGTGTTAGTTTTGGCCGCAACAGCTGGCGGCGCGGGACCCGGTACTTGAGATGTTGTGCGGGCTGCTTATTGCATCAGCAGATGAGGTACTGGGTTTGGACTCAGTCTGTGCTACCGGAGAACACCTCCTCCGCTTTTCGCAGCATCATGTGGTCAGTGAGCTATTTTACATGTGGATCCAGTTCCTCAGCACCTGCAGCCCAGGCCACAATGGCTCCAAGTCGCCTCTTTGCGAGCTGGATCAACTGAGTGCGCTGCAGGAGCCTCCCATGGCTTGGCCAGAGGGCGGGTGTGCCACGTGCCTTGTAGATCTCAGTCAAACTTGTATGACCCCATGACCATGCCGATGCTGCACAGATGTCGAAGCACGTTTGGATCGCTCCATATAGCAAGAGCGTGGCAATCCGACTCGCGATAAGGATTCGCAGCAGGAGAAGGTCCCGAGAACCAAAGAATGAAACGAGCTCCAGACTCATGGAGCTTTCAGCCTGATGCAGGATGGTCATCTTCTCCAGGCCGACGAGCCACTGACAACTCGAGATGTGTGACCCAGCTGTGAATTAGTTCAGGTTAATGAGCCTGCAAAATGACTATTCCTGCTATCAGGCAAGCCAAGCTTGCGCGGTGTGGCGAAGCCACGAGAGAGATGGCCGAGGCAGACCTCGTGGGAGGCTCCTGCATGCAAGCACTCATGAAGAGAAGTGGTTTAGGAGTGACGAGTAGCAATTAGATCCTGCAAGGCTTGTTGTACACAGGGGGATGTCAGTTGCAGCATGCCAGTGCCGTGTATGGATGTGGGCAGAGCATTCGCATATCTTCAATCTCAGCGAGTGCAGGTGCATCTGCATTTCGGATGCAGCACGTACCTCGTAGCATATCCAGGTCAAACCCAGCGAATCCTTTGCAACACCGTCATTCCGGAAATCCACTTATGGTAAGGCCTCAGCCTTTTACGTTGTCTGTTTTCGAATGTTGCCGACTGCGTGATCCCTCGAATTCAGGCACATACACAAGGCACTGAAGCTTTTAACATGGTACCAGCACTCAGGCTTGCTGGTTAGCATCGCAACAGCCTTTTCAGCCAATTGTTTGACTTGCAGGCGTGGACGTTGCACCAAGCGCGGGGACACAGGCAGCCCTTCCCCAGGCGCGATGGAGATGATGAGCATGTTTCAGATGGATAGCTTCAACGAAATCACCTCATCAAACAACTCGGTTCCACGGACAATGTAATGAAGGGTTTGATGCGCTTGACTTTGAGGTAAAGTTGTGGGCTTAGGGTTCAGGTTGTTGTGCCCTTTGCCGCCATCCTCAACAGGCCATCATGTAAGCTGAGTTGGCAGCAGTCAAAGCTGGGTCTCTGGAACAGCCAGCGCTGTCAACTTTCTCTGCCAAATTCTCCAGCTCTGCAGATGGGCTACTGGGTCCAAGTTGAAACCATCCATGGGCTGCCTCGAGCGATCAAAAGTAAATATCACGTGTGGGCCCCAGCTATCAGGGATCAAACGCTTTTTCACATTGCCTTGGCCGAACGCCGGAACAGTTCAGTTGAACAAAGCTGGGCGTGCTTATTCATCAGTGGCATTCCAGCGTTTTAAAGTAGCATTTGCGACACAATGTTCTGGATTGTTCCGTGGCAGGCTGAAGCGCTGTGCGGGATCTATAAGAAGCGCTTGGTAAGTTTGGATGGTCCATGTTTCAGACAGCAGACCCTGTCAAGTGATAAAACTATCCTGCTTGTTTACCCGCAGCTACAGATTACCAAGCTCCCAGAAGGAAGCTCCTTAGATTCCGGCAGCAATGAGGGCATGCTACGAAGGTGCTTGCACCCTTTTCCTGGACCAAGGACACTTGGAACAATCTTGCTTTTGCATGTCAGCTATTTTGATCTGCCGTCTGGAAGCGTTCTCGCACCAAGGATGCGGAGACCAGGGCCTGCTAGCTCTTGCCGAGGAGTTGATGGGACTTGTGCAAAACGGGCCAAACTCGCCTCTTATCTACTTGTTCGTCTCCGGCAAAGCAGATGGACCGGAACCAGGAAGCCTTGTCCTCTCCCAGGTGAGCAGGATGCTGTCACTTGGTTTCAGAATCCCTGCTCAAGTGATGCTTTTTGACGATTGCTTCCTGGCTTGCTGGCTTCTGTAAGGCTGTCACTCCGGGTTCCAGTCTACGGCGTTGGACTTGGTCGCATGAAGCCTTCCAGCAACTTGCTTTTGCAAGCGTGCGATTTTGTCATTTCGGAGCGGCCCAATGAAGGCAGGAGGGAAGTGAAGGGTTTTGTGTGCTACAGTGCCGTGAAGGGAAGTGATCGCTGCTGGGCACAGGTGTGTCAAATCGGGTGCTACATCCCGTCGAGATCGACCTGGTGACGCTGAGCTTTTGTTGTAGGTCTATAAAGCTCTCTGTTGGGTAGGCCGAGGCTACAAAATTTTCCGAAGCTTTTGTTTAAAGCCCGGCTTTGCTCATTTATCCCAAACAGGGCGGGGGAAGCCCGGAGTCCTTCTTTTCACAGGCCATAACAGACCTCACAAGGCCAAAGTTTTCGTGGGGTGTCCAGTGTGGGGTCGCAGTGGGTGGCACTGGCCTTTAAACGCACGACTTCTGGTGCTGGTAATGCTGGTTCCGGGGTCTGTCTGTGATGTGTCTTCCATCAGATGTAGCAGAGGACACATTTGGGCTTTTGCAACCCCTGAATGCACCTGCATCGGCTCGGTTCAGGCAAGTCAGGCGATATCAGTGCGCAACTGTCACCCTTTGCAACCCTGCAAGCATGAAACTGGCTTACATCTCAGAAGTCCAACTTCAGGCAAGATGGACTCATGCAAATCTCTGCGAGCGACCCAGGATGACCATCATTGCGGCTGAGGCGGTGGTCATGAATGCTGCTGAGGCAAGCCAGGGCGTAGGACAGATTTTTAATGAAGCTTGATGCACCCCTTCTATTCTCTCTGCTTAAGAGCATGCAACCTTGCCACAATGCAGTGCTGCCTCGAGGGAGTACCAGTGGGCTAAGTAGCAGTGGCATCATGCAGCGTCCTCGTGACATCAAGTCCCTGTACGCAAGCAAGCAAACAAAACCGTTGACTGCCGGGTCAACGATGTGCCGTTACACTTCACCGGCGTAAAGTGCTGTACCGAGTCCCGACAGTTTGTTCTGTGCTTGTTCAGTGACATCCGTGAGGTTGCAGCTGCAAAGACATCTCTTCTGCGGAACAAGCTGCGATTTCGCTGTCCTGACCTGCACCAGCTAGCACCTGCTTGTAATTCCTGGGGTGTAAAGTATACGTTTGAGATTTAGGTCTGAGGTGAAGCCTGATCTCAACCTTCATTACAGATCCTTTGAATACGATGGCAGAAACTGAGCTTGCTTCAGACGGCCTTGCGCCTCCCAATCTGCAATTTGGAGCACGGAGTGCCCAAGACCCAGGGTCACATGTCATGTGCGTGCGTTGGTAGAGGGAGAAAGGCTTAGAGAAGAAGGCAGTTCATCACGGTAGATCTAGATCCAGGGAAACTTTGAGCTGCAGGGTGGCGGCCAGGCTCCCTCAGTTCCACGTGCATGCCTTGACAAGAATTTGGACTGTCCGTTTCTTCGCCCAGAAGCCCTGCGCTGCATGGGGTTAACCCTTATGCCAATTTGCAAGGCGAGCAGATGATATTGGTTACACGGCTGGTAATGTCTTCAGGGTTCTTCACATTCTCAGTGTTTGGCTGATATCTTGATGTTGACATGCAGACCGATAGGGCGCACACTCTACATTGCACGTGTGCTCGCACAGACATTATCAGCATGGCTGACTGTTACAGTAATTTCCGCAAGTGTAGTTTGCCTTGGGGTTTGGTGGGCGGGCCGGGGCACACGCGTAACCCTCGCCTGTCCTCTGCCTCTAGTTCCCCCTTTGTGCTTGCCTTGTCAGGTCCAGCTCTAGGCCTTTGTGTGTCAGACGTATGAATGGTACGACAGGTGTTCTACAACTTTGCCCTCCCGTCCGCCCTTCTTCGACTTCATTAATATGGTGCATCAGCTCAGATGCCTTGTTGGAATCGGGCTTCTTTGCCCTGTGTCTAGGGGTTCGAGACTTGCGGAGGCACTTGACCTGGCCTCCCCCTGTTCTGCAGTGCAGCCAGGGACTATTGAGTTTTTTTGCTATCCTTGTTGCTAAGCGAGGGGGGGGCGGCAACTCTTTTGAAAAGTCTGGTGCGTTCCAATGCTCGTCTGGGGGGTGTTTTTAGGATTGCTACTCCCTCCCTGAAAAACTGTTCTTTCCTTTGCACTGGACCTCATCACCTGTATTCTTAGAAGCCAGATGCAGTTCTTGTTGCAAGTCCATCATGAACAAGACCCTTTCAAATAATGGATTCTGCTGGGGCCGGACTTTGGATATAGCTGATAAGAAAGTGCTGCTTTGGTGGGCTGTAGGGGACCCTGAGAAACCATAGCACAGGGGAACCCCAACAACACTTGCAGGAACCGCCTGTTGTGAAGATCTAAGATGGAAGCCTGCTGTCCAATGATGTGGGGTCAGCGGGGCTTGGACATTGGAGCAGAGAAAAACAATGGCACACGTGCACAACTTCCGAGCATCCGGGACCTTGGGACTAGGAAACCCGCCCAGATTTCACAGTGACAGCGTGTCCATGACGCACGCGCAGGCCAGCAAGCCCGCTGCCAAGAAAACATGCCCCTCCAGTTCATGTATTCACCAGGACGAGCATTCACGTGAAACTCATCAAAGAACGAACATTTCAAATTGGGATTTGGTTTATGCTAAGATGTGCTTGTATTGAGCATGGGGAACCACATGGCTAGCAGCGCACCATTAGGCATAGGCCAAAGCTGGGTTGTTGCTGATACTTCTGGCTAGTCGTGGCCTCATCAACAGTCTATGCAGTCTGTTTCATCAACATTTCCACGCTGGATTCCAAGAACGTTCAGTGCAACCCAGAGTGGCCTGGCGTAGGCCGTGACGGTATGCAAAGTTTGCTTTTGAAGCACCTGCGTGCCCGGATTTGCTGGAAACAAGTGAACTTACGTGGACTTGATGCGCCGAATTGCCGGACTTCTGTGGCAATGCAGCAGCCCAATCCTATTTGGGTTGCAGCATGTGTGGGCAGCGGTTCATTGCCGACCACATGAGCCGCAGCATCCACATCGGAAGTATGTTGCAGTATCTTGCGCTCAATGTCTTGCGGTAGCTGGCAGTCCGATGCACGAGAAAGTTGTGGGCTGAAACAGCCCTGTAGCTGCGCAACAGGCGCTTTTGCAGCAGCTACCTTTCTGCAGGCGCATGTACAGTTTCTGTACCGCCTAGAAGGGTTTTTCCATCTGCTCGCATACGTCGCCGGATTCAGGCTGCTGATTGTATGGATTCGGTAAGAGAACTGTTGCACAGACGCCAAATGCCTCGTGCTCCGAACGGAGTTCGCGATGCATTGAGCAGGCGGCTTTAGGAGTTGGTTGGGCCTTGCACGGAGTAGGAGCCAAGTAGCTTGTAACCAGGTTTCTGCATTGTGGTGCTGCGTGAGTTACAGTTGCTCGCCTTCGAAAGCATTATAGCTACTCGTGCGGGCAGTCATCTTCACAGGAGATGCGTGACTTCCGGGTGTCCATTTGGCGGCCTGCCCCGCACTGCAAGCCATGTGGTATTGAAAGCTGGACTCCAATCCATGGAATGCAAGAGTGACATTGCCTTGAGTTTTTTGTGGGTAGTGGGTCTTGACTATGCCCCATCAAGGATGGTTGAGCATGGGGAACCACATGGCTAGCAGCGCACCATTAGGCATGGGCCAAAGCTGGGTTGTTGC